CAATGGTAAAGTGAGGAGTGTGAACATTCTGATTGAGATGGGATAAATCAATGACATGATAACAGTCCCTGATCTTCTTGGGAACCACAAACAGGTGATAGTAAAACCACCTGTGAACCTGGTGAGCTGGTTCGATAGCCTTTGTGCAATGAGGTTCTGAACCACCTCTGACAGATGCTGGTGTGTGGAGGGATCTCAAGAAGAAGGGAAGGGAACAGGAACATTGAATAATGGAGGAAGAGCAAGAAAGGGGATAATGAATCCCCCCAAGAGCACCTTGTGAACCCAGACATCAGTGAGAAAAGGTCCCCACAAATGAATGAAATTCAATAGACATGCTCCCACTGAGCCTGAACAAACCACATAGTCACTGGTACTGCTGTTGGTGGATTGTGCGTCAGCAAGTAAATCATCGAATCGTGACACCGTGGGAGGGTGGGACAGGAAGAGGCTGGGAAGGGGAAGATCGAGGGACAGGAATCGGTACTGAGCTCAGCCCTGACTATGACAAATGAGTTAACAAGTTAGAAAGGTGGGCCAAGACCACCGGCTACTCCAAAGATTCAGGAACTGAGTCAAGCACATAATGCCACAAAACAGTATCATACAGAGGTCCCTCAGATAAGGAGCCTGGAGATGGGGCTGTGCCAAAACCGTATCATGGCCCAAAAAGTCCCAACAACAAACAAACCATGTTTGAAGCATGAGAGCTGAAGACAACAGTCGAGCCAACGTAGAAGTAAGGATAAAGAGAATTTCAGCAAAAAAAAACCTCGGGGTTCCTGTGAAAAGCCTCTGACAGAAGGTGAAGGAAAGAAAGAAAACTTAATAGTCATGAGAGTGAGAGAAAGGCTGGGCTTGGGTTAGTTAAATAGGATAACCTAGGTTTGCCTCCAAACTGGTAGAACCAACCCCAACAACTGTTGGTCGAGAAAAGGAAAGTCTGCCTGATGATAAGCAAGGGCAGACTAATTCAAAGTCTGTGGGGGATGAAACATACTAACTTCCTCCCCCCAGTCAAGAGGCAAATTGGTTCATGTGAACCCTAATATCGAGGATGGGGGAAAGACTAAACAGGATTGGGAAGTTACATGTAAGAGGGAAGGTCTAGGGCCATAGGAAACAGGGGTAAGAGACAAAACATCACATAAATGAGAGATAAAGTCTGAAAAGACCAGTTACAGAAGAGCTGAATCATCAGGTAATGAATGGGAGGCGTGGCAAACTCCAGGTAGGGAAACAAATGATAAAAATCATCTGCAGCCTAGCCTGGCCCGGAAAGCTCAGAAGGAAATGGGGCAGAAGTAGGCGAGAGAAGTTTGCTCCTATAATGCTCAATCTCCTGGCAAATGAGTGATGATATGTCCCCGGAGGGTCGCCCCACCTGCAACTGAAAATACAGCATCAGACGCTGGCAAAGTACCAGAAGTGGTGACTGTAACTTCAGAATTAATAGGCAGGAAACACAAGGAAGTAACACTATATTAAAATATTAACTCCACAACTGTGAAGTGTTGGAAATAAGGTTAAGAAAAAAAATTTTTAAATGAAAAAAACACTTCAAGGTAACTGAATAATGTAAAAAAGAATGTCTGAACTCAACAGCTGCCAAACGAGAAGTGATAGTTCAGTAGTAGCATGTAGAGGGAGTCACACGCATCCCATGATAGTAGTGCTCTCCTATTGGTAGAGATGTGACACATGATGATTTGCATGAGAGACATATTGGAACTTTGGATTCCAACAGAGGGAGGATGAAGGCTTGTGGCATGCATTTCTGAAAAAGTTTGCATACAGAGGGCAGCACAAAACAAGAAAAACTAATCTTGTGAGCAGAGGAAGAGTACTTTATCGGAATTGTCTACATTTACTTATTCCTATTATATAAAAATCCTTTGTTCCGACCAGTGCTCTGTAGTTATCCACGTTATTTCTTATACTTCTATCATTACAATAATAATCATTAAAACTACTTTTGGACCTTGTTCCCACACTATACCCTTCTTAACACATTTTTTCTTCATTATTCTGGCCCTCTCCACTGTTTAATCCTAGTTTAAAGTTGCCTTTAGAGTTGAGTTAATAGCACTTCCAAATAAGTCATCCCCTACCCTATTTAAATGTAAATTATCCATTCCAAAAAGCTCCTTTTCCCATTGAACTGATCCCATAAATCCAACCAGCCAACTTGCTTTTCCCAAGCCTAGTATTCAGCCCCAATGACCTGCATATATTTTCATCCCCACAGTTAAGTCTTTGCAGTATCCCTGACAGAATCAAGTTCTTTGAGAATTGTTAGTGTTACTCTTATTTACAAAAGGAATGATAAGAGTTGTCCTGGAAATATACATGTAGGTCAATTATTCTGGGAAAAATTCTGGAGTTTGATAAAAGAAGTTTTGCAAAATCATCTAGTGAAATATGATATCATAAAAGAACAACTTGGATTCATTACAGTGCAGTCTACCTTTACTTATATGTAACCTCTTTTCAATGATGTCATCTGGATTATGGAAAGAGTGTAGACTTGGTATTTCCACACGTACTGAGGATGTTGAGGTATTATATTTATAGAATGACTGTTATCAATTGATAAAGCTGGGCAATTAACTCAAGTAATTAATTGCCTAAAAACATCAATGATATAGATTAGTGTCACATAAGTTACTGGTTGATCAAAATTAAGATTTACTTGAATAATATCACCAAAATAAACAACTAATTGAAATTAGTGTTTCTTATTGTACTTTTTTTTTATTATTCCAACTATCCAAACAATCAAAATATTGCTGTTATTATTTTTGATTAATTCAAGTTATTTCAGCTTAATTGATTAGTGTCACAGCATATAAAAACAACCCACTAATCAAAATTAGTGTTTTAAATTATTGATATTATAAATTAATTCCACTATCCAAGTATCATGTGAGAATAATAGTTTAATGAAATCAATTAATGAGCCCAATGACTAATCAATTTCCACTAATCAGCAATCGTTCAGCTCTAAACTTAATTGGTTAGTTAGACAAATGGCTTTTAATTTAAGTGCAAGATAATACATTTGGGTCATCACAATTTGAATTACACATTTAATACAGATGAGAACCAACTCAATAGTTTTATTGAGAAAATGATTATGGCATAGTGGTGGATTAGTCATTCAAGCCATCAAAACAGTGTTTTGTTGCAAATAGTAAAGCTAACTGAACTTTAGGAAGTACTTATTGACACATTAATCACAAGTCAAAAGAGGTAATTATATATTTATCCAAATCACTAGATGGCCTCACTTAGAATACTCTTTACAATTTTGGTTCCTTATCTGAAAAAAAAGATACTGACTTATTAGAAGACTTTCAGATGAGGGCTACTAAGATGAATCCAGGGATGGAATGGTAATCTTAACAGAATAGATTAAATATTATATTTTCACTTGAAGCAAAAATAGGAAAAGGGATGATTTTCTTGAAGTTTACAATATTATCAGGGGGATAAATAAGATAAAGATCACTGACTTATTTTATCTAGAATTCTTCCAACTTTAGAAATATAACTAACTGGTCTATAACTTTTAGGGGTAACTTTTATCCCTCCCTATAAAAACAGGAGTAATATTAGCAACTATTTAATCCTCAGGTACCTGCCCACTGTCTACTGACCAATGAAAAAGGAGACAGATACAGAAGATTAAGAATGTAGTAAAGGATGGTTCTATACACATGCTATCCTCTTAGTTATAATATAATTTTTTCAAAATTATTGTTATTTTTTCAGAATTCTCAATCTGGATGCAGATATTCACTCAACTAATTCAACCTTCTCTCTTTTGAGAGCATGTAAGATGTGGGTTTGATAACTGGCAATTAATGGGCTTTCTTGCAGGGAATATAGTACATGACATCCAGAAACAGAAAGCTATCTTTCTTGTCAGCAAATCAGATAAAAGTCAGGGGCAGCCATGCCCTAAAGCTCAACTCCTAGTGGACACAGGTCTTGAATGTGAGTGTATTTCATGTGCAAGCCTGGATTTGTTAGTAGTTTTGTCTTTGTATATAAAACTGGATTTGCTCTTGTAATAGTGAAAGTTAAAACCTTAAGTAATGGTAACAGTTAAACTGTAATTTTGGTTCTAATTAATTTCCTAAGTGGTGTCATTTTCATTTTAAGGTTTTTTTTAGTTTAACTTAAGAGGGGGGGCTAAACTCATAAGAGCTTTTGAATAAATCTCTTACAACTTTTATGTGCATAACTAGACACCTGCCTTTATTTTTTATTACTTGTGTGATTAGATATTTGTGTACTTGTACTTCTATCAGTGTCAAGACTTTCACCTATACAATCCCAGTTGTACATCAGAAAGAGCAATATACTCTGAACTCTGTTGTTTAGTATTCTCTGAACCATTAGTTAGCAAGAAATACCACAAAACTATAATATTATTAACTTTGATACTATCATATAATAAAATTCCAAACCTACTTATAAAGTGATCATTGGCTTCCATTTGTATCCCCACATCAACCAACTGAACAAACTTAAAATAGGACTACACAAATCGTACATGGGTTAAAACAGCCTTCTTGACCTTAAAATGAAGTTAAATACATAATTCCACTTAAATAAAACAACAATCTCTCCTTTTACCACAGCTTAACAGTCACTGTATCAGCATAACAGGGCTTAGTTTGACTTAGAAATTAAAAACAGTCACATCAAAGGCCTTCAAATTTTATGACTGAACAAGTTGAACACAATACTAATGGCAGTAGTTCTTTTACACAGTAATGAAAGTCCTGTAGTTTAAATTTACCAAATTTAAAATTTTTCCTTGAGTGTATAACTTTACTCACAAAGTTGGTTTTAAATACAAGAAAAAAAAGATCAAATGTTTTGATATATAAATTTTAAGTTAATTTACTTGTCCTACAGTATCATTGTCAATGCCATTAATATAACAATAAAAATTACAATAATTTAAATAAATATCATAATTTACATACCCAAAAGAAGAAGCTTGACTTCTCTTGCTTGTCTTTCTCCATCAGCCCTCAAATCTTTGTCAATTTTTTTAGATCTTTCAGTTGCTTCTTTGTCTGCTATAGAGCTAACTGCGCAACCCATTTTATTTTGTATATAATAATTAATATTAATAGTAAAAAAATTCAGAAACCAAAATTAAATAAAAAAATATTAAGAAAATAACGTTACACTCCAGTAAGAACTAAGTGATGTTACACTGTCGCTCAGCCAAATTTAAAACCAATGCTACCCGTCTGTAACGGTCACCGGCAGGTGTGGTGGGCTCCCTTCTCGTTTACGCTGTTTTGGAGTAGGCAAGTGGGTTCCCGTTAAATTTTCAATTCCATACAACTGAACATGAAGCGAGTTTCGTTCCTTCTTTGGTCCTTACGGAATTATACCGTCAACAAAGATATGTATATATATATGTGTGTGTGTGTACTTTAGATTCTAAGTAATTTGCTCTACAGATTCATTTCTCACTCTAACACAAAACTAAACCATAACTTAACCCAACAAGTCTATGCCTATAGTAAATAATGCAACACCAACGTACACACACCCTTCAATGCATTAGGACCATAGAGATAGTAAGCCGGATATTAGTTCTCAGACACCGGAAATCACACATAATATTTACATTTTATTAATAATTTTTTCCATTTTAAGCAATATTCACAAAAGTTTGTTTACAACCTACAATTTAAGCACTTTGTTAAAAATACTTTAAACACATCTAGTTAAAAGACCTACACTTGAACAACTGCTGTTAGTATCATTAACTGAGCAGTCTCTACTAAACATTTTTACTTCAAATGGGTTTCTCGTCATTATTAATTAACTGAGCTTTTGCTGATACATCTATTAACATTTGTTTATATTGAAATTATATTGCCAAAAAAACAGCTGCAGTTTATATGATTTTCATCACAATTGTCAGGCTTTCAGCGTTTAAACATTTAAAAATAGCTTAATGTGCAATAATTTAAACAAGTACAAAATTTAAAACTTTCCAGATGTAT